GCCCGGGGAATTTGGGCGATCTTGAACTCTTCGAAGCCTTTCAACAGGGCAAGTACAAGGTCCTTGTATTGTGCCATGCGTCCTTCCCTTGCTTCCATGTTACCGGTCACTTGCCCAACGATCAGGCTAGAGTCAGATTTGATACTGACCCGGCTGATTTTCAGGGCTTGGGCAAGTCTGAGCCCTCCAGCCAGAGCTTCATATTCTGCCTCATTGTTCGTCAGTTTGAAGTTGAAGACGATTGCATGGTAGATCTTGAACCCTTCTGGGATGGTGAACACGATACCACCCCCGTATCCTCTAGGACCGGTTGCCCATCAACTGCCATCTCTCACCATTGCTCAGTGGGCTTGTTGACCGGTAAGTCTGGAGTTAGACCGGTCATTTCTACTAGGAAGTCAGCAAGGGCCTGTCCCTTGATTGCCGACCTTGGCCGGTACTCAATGTGGAATTGAGTTAACACCATCGCCCACTTCACCATCCTCCCGGAGGATGTTGAATTTCGCAACACTGCACCCAGCGGTTGGTCAGTCAAGACTTCTACCGGGTGAGCTTGGAAGTAGGATGTCAACTTTTTTGCGGAGATGAAAAGCGCATAGGCTGTCTTCTCCATCGCCGTATATCTACTCTCAACCCCGTTTAGTGCTTTGCTCACATAATAAATAGGCTTTTGTGCCCCATCATCTCTTATTAAAACGGAGCTTACAGCATTTGGGGAAATTCACAGGTACAGATATAGAGTTTCACCCGGTTCGGGTTTAGACAATACAATATCCGACGCTAGGTACTCTTTCAGCTCCCCAAATGCCCTCCGGCATTCTTCGTCCCATACAAACGTGTTAGCCTTCTTCAAAACTTTGAAGAAGGGAAGGGATCTCTTTGCTGACCGGGAAAGGAACCGGCTGAGGGCCGCTAGACGACCGGTCAACTTTTGAACATCCCTAACGGAGGTAGGGGCTTGCATTTCAGTGATGGCCCGGATTTTCTCTGGGTTGGGCTCTATCCTTCTCTTGGTCACCATGAATCCCAAGAACTTCCCAGTACGAACCGCGAAGACGCATTTCTTAGGTTTCAGCCGGAGGTTGTATTTTGCCATGATATCGAACGTGGCTCGCATATCAGCCGGATGGTTGAGAGATACCTGGCTTTTGATCAGCATGTCGTCGACGTATGCCTCCATGGTCTTTCCCAGTAGTGGCTTGAAAAGTTTGTTCACCATGCGCTGGTAGGTTGCCCTCGAGTTCTTCAAGCCAAACGCCATTACTCGGTAGCAGTAGGTTCCTTCGGGTGTGAGGAATGGCGTCTTCTCTTCATCTTCCTTGGCCATGTAGATTTGGTGGTAACCCTTGAAGGCATCCATGAAACTTAGGAGTTCGCACCCCGCAGTTTCGTCCACCATTTGATCTGGACTGGGAAGGGGGTATGAATCCATCGGACAAGCCTTGTTCAAGTCCATATAATCCACACACATTCTCCATGTGTCGCCCTTCGGAGCAAGGACAACGTTGGCCAACCAATCCGGGTATTTGACTTTCCGGATGTGACCAACACTGAGGAGGTCCTTCACTTCCTTCTTGACGAACTCTCGTCGGTCACTGGCCAGGTACCGCTTCTTCTGTCGTACCGGTCGACTTCCCTCCCTCACGGCCAACCTGTGGTAGATAACAGAGCGATCTATCCCGGGCATATCCGCCACGCTTCATGCGAATATGCCCGCGTATTCTTGGAGGACCCGTGTAATCTGTGCCTTGAGATCCTCGGGGAGATTTGCTCCAATTCTGACCATCCTCGAAGAATCACCCGGGTGAAATTCGATTTCCACCGTCTCGGCCTTGGGCTCCAATTTCTCCCGGGTCTCTCCCTTTGTGATCTCTTGGGAGATGACATTGACCCCCTTGGTCATTTTCTTGACTACCTGGGCATAGCACTCCCGGGCGTTCCTCTGGTCGCCCTTCACCTCACCCACACCACCTGGAGTGTGGAACTTCATGCATAGATGAGGCATGGAAATCACCGCCCCGACTCTATTGATGCCTGGCCTTCCAAGAATTGCGTTGTGGACGATTTGATTTCCACAACTATGAACCACATCTTCTTCCACACGGTCTTTTCACCTGATCCTAGTTCGACCGGTAGAACTATGGATCCTTCAGCTTCAACGGTGTCCCCCGTGAAGCCTGAGAAAGGGGTTTTGAGGGGTTCAAGTTGTGTTCGACACAACCTGAGTTTTTGGAAGGTCTCCAGGTATAAGATGTTGACACTGCTGCCGGTGTCAACAAGTACCCGGGCGACATCCACCCCATTAATGTCCATGGTGATGACCAATGGATCATTGTGATCTTCACCGGTAGGAGGGAGATCCCGGTCAGTAAAGACGAT